ACCCCCCATTTCCGACTCCTCCCCGAGTTTTGGGACACCCTGTATATGGCCTTCTACGTACAATTTTATATTGAAGGAAATTATTTGTTATCACCAAATCTCCGATAAAAGACCCTGTAAGTTTGAATTTTCAGAGAAGACCTTGTTTTTTGAACAATTTAACCGACTAGCCCCCCCGTAAAGAGTCTCGTAAAAGCGTGCAGCACAGCTGCTTCATTATGCACGGGTTACGTGATTCGCAGAATAAATATTGCAACGGTCTTTACACACAGCTGAACGCATTGTTTTTCTTTCCCTGGCACGGTCGTTAATCCTGTTACTTCTCGTCGGACGTGTACTCGAGATAACTGCAATACCCGTTCCTCCCGTTTGCCCTGACGAACGAAATTCGTGTTTCCAGTTTCCTATTATCCTCTCGTACGTCTTTTCTCATTGCGCCCGCGCGCGTGTACTTTCGGTAACCATTGTCGTTGGACGTAATTAGGTTCAACTTTATGTAAAAACGTTCGTATTTACCATTGTTCCGTGTAACTTGCCAGAGGCTCGAATCCCCTTGCTTTCAATATGGTTTCCATCATTGTTCGAGTCGATTTGACGAATTCACTGTTTAATTGCTTTGAATTGGTAGGATAAAATACTCATTGGTAAAATATTCATTGTTTGTTGCAATTGTTACGCGTACATGAAACTGGAGTTGTATTTAATCCTTAATCTGTAAACATTTTTCCAGTTATTTATTCCTAACATATTTTATAATGTGTAAAAGTCTTTTTAAAAATCTGAACAAATTTATATATACTTTTCAAACATTCCGAATCGAGTTTGGAATGAAACATTTTAAAAGTAACTGATTCAAATATATCTGAACATATACATATATGTAAAGTGAAACACGTGAAAGATATTAATCTGATTAAAAAAATCATAACTTTTAAGTGAATTACGATACAGCAAAGAATCGAGTAGCAAATTGATATCGAAGGTTCAAACTTTAATAAAAAAAATCTACACTTCTTGATTGCAGTTTAATGCTTAAGTTTCTTGCGTGGATAATCATAATTTTTTTACGCATGAAATGTAAGGTTCATAAGTAAGAAAATTTTGCTTCGAAACATTATTTATTACATCGAAACATGCGTACATACCTCATTCTCGTTAATGTCTCCACCAAGGCAAACCTCACTGGTTCACGGAGCAAGGGTTAATATGACAACATTAGCGTTAAAATAATCAAAGAACAAGACGAATCGTACAGCTCCGCGTCAGGTGTCACGAATCACGTTTTTGCTAATTGCAGGACTTTTGCCTACGGGCGAACACATGCACATCCAGCCCATCGACACCGTATATACCTTCGACAGCTGGCACGAAAGTCACTGAGTACCCTAAATCCAAAGCGAGCCCCTTGTCTCCATGATCCACGATCCTCGTCCTCTGCAAAGAAAATCACGAGCGGTTGTACATAATTGCCTGCTCGCTCCTCGAGGTATCAACCATCGCCTTTATCGTTGTCGTCTACAAATACCTTTACGCTCCGTAGTCGCGACAATTCATGTAGCGATACTTATCCCGAGTTTTCCCCTTTTCGCGGTGAAACAAAACGGAGGAAGAAAAATATTACCCCCGGTTTACGGTTCGTCTGCGGAAGTCTGGGACAACGGTTCTCGTGCGCGGAAAAGAATTGCGACTCGCGGCGACGGAAACGTTGCATTTAACACGGAATGATAAACGTTGCGCGCGTTGCATCGGGTTGCCGGGCGTGAAATATTCAGGGTTCTTTAAAAATTGATCGCTACGGAGTTACGCGTTTAAAGAGTGCGCGATTCTGGGGCGCAGTATGTATTATTTGTAGAGTAATGTTATAGTTGGAAAACGATGGCTTTAACGAGGCGTTTTCCAAAACATGATACAACGGTGCCGAACTAACATTAACATTTGAAAAGTAACTAGTCTTCCTGTGCTAGAGTGTCCTACCGAAAAATGGTACCAGATTTGGAGTATTTTTTAATGAAACTTCCAGTGTTACCACTATGTTTACGGAGATTTTTTATCAGATTTCTGTTACTGAAGTGATGCTTTAATGAATGAAGTCAATTTAATAAAATAAACCCTTATTTAGTAAACCAGGGTCATTCAAATCCGAGGGAATTTGAAAGGTACTTCGTAAACGTTATTCTTAAAATGTTTCATTGTAATCTGAATGTGGAATGTTTAAAGAGTATACATGAATTTTTTCAGATTTTTAAAATGATTTTTACATAATAAAAAAACGTGTCGGGAATGAATGACCCTGAATTACAGTTTGAGATAACTGGGAAAAACGTTTACGAAGTACGGGTTAACCTTTGCAGACCTGAATTATTCTTTTTCTCGTACTAATGTGATTCAATTTTTAGGTTTAACTTGGACTAAAAATTAATATGAAAGAAGTAAAAAAAAAAAAATCCTAATAGTGTAGTTTTCGAGGAAATTCGCACTAAACGGTAGTCCATAAATATTTTTTTTAAATTTTGTGTCTTCAATTATGGACGTCAGGTATGAAAGGGTTAATTAGGAGCTTTGAACAAACATGAAATTGGATACATGCTTGGTTTTTTACCCAGATAAAAACCAGTATAAGTGATTATCAAAAGATAACAACAGTTTCTGTAGATCCTTATTAAATTTTGAATGGGTCGAAATGACTATTGCTCCACAAAACCTGATGTTAACAGCGAAATGGTCAACTCTGGAATTCAGCGAAGAAAGGAACACGGATTAACGTGACGTTGCTTCTCTCTGTTGCAGATCAGAGGCAAAAAAGTAAAGGCGGCGGAAGTAGTTGCTGCTCATCTTCCTGTCGCATACTTTAAAACCTCGCCGGCTGCCCTGGATCACGCGGGGGTCGTTCAGAGTGCGAGCCAGCGCGCACGCGTTCAGGCTGAGCCGTTGGTTTCTAAGGTTTTATGCTGGTGTATAATTGTTAGTGGCTGAGCTCGTGAGCAGTGTAGCAAAAAAAAAAAAGAAAGAAAGAAAGGTGGTTAAAGAGAGGAAAAAGAAAATAATAATGAGAGGTCGCACCGTTTGTCACCGATCCGCGCGAATGGTTTCGTTGGTTCGCCCGTGGCGCATCTGAATAAACGACAAAAAAAGAATATAATAAAAACGTTTACCGCCGTCCCAGGTGAACGATTCGTCATCCTTGTTGTTTTATTCTGTTGTTTATTTTCTAATTCCTTTTTCTTAGGAGAAATTGTAAGGCAGGATCTATACCGTTGCGCGTTTAGCCCACCCAGGGAAAGCAGAAGAACCGACGCGTCAGAGCCAAATCATCACAGCCACACCAACACTCATACACGTACACACATCTACGTACAAACACTTAAGCATCCACACCAGCACACATGCATACACACAGCTATCCGTTTTGTTCGGTGGTGTAAGGTGTGCGTACATTTGGGAATCTATTTATGACCTGTCATCGCGACGGGAGACGATCGTTTTAGTCTGTCGACGACCTGCTGGCGTTTGACGCGCAACGTCGAGACGCGTGACGTCGAAAGAACACGCGTTATTTACTCCAACCCTTATCCCTTGAACATCCTTTACCTACCACTTGACGAATTACAGGACGAGAGTTACACGTTTCGACGGTGTTTACACGCGGCGCCATCTCCTGTTGTTGTAAGGCGTGTGCTGATACAAAGAGAAAGAATAATAATAATAATAATAAAAAATAAACATTAGTACGATAAAAATTTCGAAAGAGATTAGGAAGTAGAGCCATTCGAAGGGGAGGGAAGACACATGCTCAGCTCTCTCTCTCTGTTGAACTGGCGCTACAATGCTTAGAAACTCAACCACTATCCGACTACCGCAGCGTTAATAGTAATTACGTAGAACGGGATCGCGTGTGCGTGTGTGCGTGTGCGTATGTGTGCACGCGCGCGTGTATGAACGTGTGTATGAATGTGTTGCGTAACGTATGAGTGCGTGTGTCGCGTCTGAAAGGTCGAGGAGAGAGTAAATTTATGTTGTGATATGCAGGTAGTGAATATATTATATATACATACTATTATTAAAATTATATATTATATATATATTATATTATATGTATATGAATATAAATATATATATAAATATATAATGGTATGAGACATGTTGACACACACAGTTAAACTCTCGTACGATAGACTTTATTATCATGAATTTAAAGTAATATTATGACGCCACTTTGAGAGTTTAGTATTTCTGGATAAGATTACAGAGGGAAAAAAATGAACATTGGATCTCTAATGGTAGTTATGATTAAATAAAAACTCAAATATATTTCCTGTTAGATATCCTTCGTCCTCGTCACCAATTACCAAATCCTGATGACCTCTCTCCTAATTGTCTCCTTGGATCCTCATCCCGTCCGCTCTCCTCACTTCGCCCCCCTTTGCTCGACACCTTGGATCTCCCTTTATTCTGTTTCCACCCGTCCATTTTTTAATCGATCGGGCCTAGAATGTCATTCATAGACCCAAAACGATCAATTTCACGTTATATAGGCGAGAATTTACCCATTCGAGTATTGATTATTATATAGGTTAGGTGCAACCAAACCGTTTATTATAAGTTGTAGCCTATTCTATACTCAATCTATGCTACTACTGTAATGTAACTATGACTCTTACCGACGCATAACACACGTGTATATATATATAATGTTCTTACGTAGTGAAACTCATCGGAATTAACAATGATCGTGTTATTATTTTATTTATTCCGTACAAACCTCAGCAGACATCGTTTCTTCGCATGTTCAAGATGTCCTCGCGGTGTCTGCTTGACTCATAAACCTGTGCCACGCGATACTAATTTGTCTTTGTTTCGTAGACAATCGAGCGGTGATTTCCTAGAACAGAAAGAAACAAAAAATGAGAATCGAGTACACCTATCAAGATATGATTTTCCTTTTCCCTTATCTTTATAATTCTAATCAAATTACGAACATGCTGCAGAAACTATAATTACTTCGAACTTTAATGCCAGGTATAACAAATGAACGGTACTAAAAAATGTACTTGCGACAGGTGTACTTGTACATACAATTTTCGTTCGCATTTTTTCGAACGATATTAATCCCTTACTGAGTGAATTTTGTTCTAAGGAAATTTATTAGATAAATGACAGTTTAAAAGATCATATTTTATTCTTTATTACTGGATGAAAGTACTTTTAACAGTGCAAACATTAAGAGGTAATTCTTCGTAAGAAACTGAATCGAAAACGTGGAATAGAATTTTCTTCTAAACGCCACTATTTTCGAGAAAATCCGTTTTGAAGTTCAAATGGGGCACGAGCAACCCCTGTCACGTTTATATACAATACCTAGATATAGTCATTTGTAACGCAAGAAGGACTATTTTCTTAACGAAAGTATCGAAAATATTTTTATGACAAGAGAGAATCGTTCGAGCGCTTGTATTTTTAAGAATGAAAACTACGGTTAGCAAATTTGCGCGTCCCCCATTTTCCCAGTGTTTCTAGCGCGGAAATTTTTCGAATAAAAATCAAACCTTGTTTAAACGAATGAAACTAAATAAAACACGTAATCGAATTAAATTAAGCGACGACTGTACTCTTTAAAGTCGTCAACCAGGGGCGTGCGTGCCCCGTGCATTATTCAAAAGTGATTACCTCGAAAACGAAGACACGTGGGAAAAAATTATATTCTTCATTTTATATTCAGTTTTTCGAGAGGAATCAAGTTGTACCACGTACGTCTTCAGAGAACCTTTTTTCGTATAAAGGAACACGTCCTGGAGTCATTCAAGTATACGACACATATATATTCAAACAAAGTATTTTTTGCGAACGATGGACTTTGAAAAATAAGATAAAAAACGTGGTATGCGTCATGCATGGCACGATATTCCAGTAAGGGGTTAATTGCTAATTCGTTTGTATTATACGTGCGCATTAATATTAATTGGTAAATTGGAATGGGTTTATGGAGATGGCTAGCACCTATAATTTAGCATTTTATTACATCATCGTCCGATTTGCAATCGGTCGTTGATCGAGATTTCGCAGAGTACCGCCGCCTTCGTTTGTTCATATTTCTTTCTTTACTCCTTTTTCTCTATTAATTGTCTTCAGTTTCTTCTTACTTTCCCTTTCAATTAAATAACGTTAAGACATAGATTATCTCCGAACGCTGTTTATAAAGTAACAAATTGTTTAGTGAGTAAGTTTAAAAAACAAAAAAAAATGAACGAGTTGCGAATAAACACATCACACGAATACATGGACTATCAGAGGAAAGAAAAAACGATGCAATTGTGACTAGGGAAACTCGGTCGAAGATTTCCGTTTCGTCACGTGTGACACGCGAAGAGAATGCCGCTCTGTAATAAGCTTGTTGCACAGTTCCTTTGACGTTACAATATTACTTTAAAATCTTGGAAGCGAACGGGGGCGGGCCGAGGAAGCGTGTGAAAATTGAAATCGCGACGATCAACGACCACCCCCGGTTCGACGCGCAACGACAAATGTTTCCTTCGTTGGGTGAATCGTTCCAAATTTTACCTCGTCTGTCACGAGTTATTTTGAATCGTTGTAACGGAATAAAAAAAAAATGAAGAACAAGTAAAAATAAAAACGAAATCGAGCGCTGTATCCTTTGTATAAAAGTGTTCCGTGTAGAGAGCGTTCGATAAATGCCACCATTGTTCGAGAAATATTTCTAACGGTAGTCCACTATCTATTTCTCTATTTCTCTTTCTCTGTGTCTATATTAAATATGCCCGTTGTTCATTTTTCTATTTTTTCGTCCTACCTTGACACGAGTATGATCTCACGTGAAAACGCTACGAGAACACGTTGTTTTGACAATGACACGACTATCGCCAGTGGAACCTTCCGGGAGATCATAAATGGAGGAAAGGGATTAATTTCTAAACATAGTGTATTATATTAACTATACGCCTCTGACTCTCTTTGCTGTTTAAACGAGTAAATGAAACAAACCAAAAAGAAAAAAAATGATGAAAAATTTGAATAACAATAAAATGGTATTCTTAAATACAGAGATTAAAAAAAAAAATAATGTAACGAACGAACATAACACACACACAGTCTCTACGAGGAATATAGTCTCGCACTACATCATATCAAAATTCTAGCGGATAAGAATCAAATCGTAGATTTATTCGTACAACGGAATGTCTCGAGGGGGGAGAATGGAGCGCGACGTTCGTACGACATCGTGCAACAACGTACAAAAGTTTTGATTCTTCATCGACGTTCACGTGCATCTATAAATAAACGAAATGTTCAGTGGCGTTTAACCTGTTAATGTAAAATGAGCTGATTACAGATTTTTATTGGCGCAACGCGAAAAAAAAAAAATAAAACGGTATTCTCCTATAACGAGTTGTGAAACAGGTGTTAAACAGTCTTCACGGTCGAACAGCTGTTAATCTGTCCTTTGTGTTCAATTGCAATCTTATTTGGAGAAGAAGGAAGTCCTATCGAGGGCGAAGAACAAACTATGCCGTCTGAGGTTCCCTTGTTCCTTGCGAATCGAAAGCTGTAGTCAATTCAGATTACCTTGAAAAGCTCCATCGTGTACGCGCCAATTTGTCAGAGTTGGACATCGATTGCTTTTATCATTTTTTCTCTGACTTAACACTTTGAGTTCGATGCAAAGAAATTTTTATGAAAGGAATCAATTACTTTTCCACGTTATTGGAAAATACAAATTTAGTATTCGTCTCATGGTGACATATTATCATGGTTAGTGTATATTCCTTCTCTGTATCCAACTCTGCCATCGGCATTCTTCATCCTGACACTCGGATCGCTAATCAGGAATATTTGTCACGTGGAAAACGATAATGCAATAGCTGGTAACAAACACGTCAGATGTTTGATAGACGTTTGATAAAAATCAAAATGATAAACAATCGTTATCGACAGAAGCTCACAGATGATAATTTTTCGAATCCCTGGGTACGGGATTTCCTAAAAAAAAATAAACAAACAGCT